TATATATATATATATATATATATATATATATATATATATATATATATATATATATATATAAGACTAGATGAGACTTAATAGAGCTTGCAGCTTATCTGATGAGACTAGATAGAGCTTGCAGCTTATCTGAAAGCACTGATTCTGAAACTGAGAGCACACAGCATGGCATGCAAACTCCTTATAGCTCATTCCTCTTTCAGCTGCTCCTGCTGGGGTTGCCACAGCAGATCACTGGTCTGTGTATTTGATTTGGCACAGTTTTTACACCGGATGCCCTTCCTGACACAACCCTCCCCAATTTTATCCGGGCTTGGGACCGGCACTGAGAGCACACTGCTGCACGCAACCCCAGTGGCTGGGGGTCAGTTCCCTGGTGGGAATTGAACACAGGCCACAGTGGTGAGAGCACTGTGGCCAAACCACTAGTCCTCCAGGGACAAACTCCTTAGAGCTTAGAGAATGATGGCTGTAGGATGTGATGTCTGCAGGAGCATCTGGGAGGTTTTAACACTGTGTTCAATTACTCTCAGTAGTGTCCAAAACCGAGACTTAAAAGCAAAAGAAAAAAAGCAGTTTCTGAGCGAGGTCTTGTGTAGTTGGCTGAAGAATTGACTTTATCTAGTCTCATCTAGTCTTAAGTGTTTTCAGACTAACAGTTAAAGTACATTTCTGTACTGTCTGCTGCCCGACTAAGCTCCAGGTCTCCACAGCATCGACTAGTCATTGCTACTCCTAACTTGCACTGGCTTGAAAATAGAGCCACAGATCTTCTTTGATTTGCTGTGTACATTTATTTTCTTCTCTAAGCAGACAGGATTTAAGTGGTGCTTAAATCCAGTCCAGAGCAACTACTGTAGATCCAAAGTGTAACTAATCCTGGAAATCTCAGTTTATTTAGACAGTTTATATTAAGAGTTTCCATTATACAGGTTCAAAGAGCTACTTAAAGATGAATGATTAGTCTGTATTCTTTGTGTGTGTGTTTGTGTGAAAGCACTTTGAGCTCTTGGATGTTCACTGAACATTTTAAACTCCTGGTGATTATTTTTCTGAAAGCTGTCCTATTTTTAGTTGACTTTTATGTCAGCAGAACCTGCAGAACTTGATCTCATCAGTATATCAGTGGAACAAAGCCTTTATTCATACACTTTATATTTTAAAGGTTAATGGAGTCACTCTGTTAAAGAAAAAAATTAACCTTTGGAACATTTAGTATTGTGCATGCTTTT